TAGTCTGATGTGAACATTTTTTAAGTCGATGAGTTTAGCCGGTGGTGTAGGCGCAATATATTTGTATACCCATTCACTGTTTTTTTTAATATAAGTCAATTCTTCCAATATGCCAACGAAGAGGATGCGTCGCCTCCTTGACGATGACAAGCTCACTAATATGGAGTTCCTGACCAGGTGCAGACCATTTTTTCATAAGCGTGCTATATGCCCAGTTTCTAAACGTATTTTAATACAACGCAATAAACTCTAATACCATGTAGGTACCTACATTTTACTTAGATACAGTAATTACGGACAATAAAAAAAAACAAATTCTGTGCAGGCACAGCAGCACAGGTCATAGAAGTGAAACTTCCGCGATATCAGTCGTGGTGATATAAATCTATTAATGTACAATCTACATTTACTGTCGTAGAGGTTTCATTAATTGTATTATTTGTGTTAGCAGTGAATTGTTTAGTAATCAAAAATAATAATAATAATAGCTTCAATACCCATGGCAACCATTTATAAACAACATTTTATATCGGAAATCTCAAAATCAATGTTTGAGCACCACCTGGGGAGGGCGTTACCGTTACAGTTACCATGGCAACCAAACAATAACAAAGATGATATTATCGGTTATATATTAACCGATGATTAATATATTTAGGTTACCATAGCAATCTATTATACTTTTTTAGATTCTGAGCGTAGCGATGAATGCATTACATTTATTACAATATATTATTATATTCTATACACACAATGATATTTTCATTTAAAATTTGTTCGGCCAATATTAATTTAACCTACAATATTACTATAATGCTTAATAGTATAATAAATTACTTTAACCAGTTTAATCACAATAATAGCATAAAAATATAAAGTATAATATTAGAATTCAAATGTAATTCATTTGTTACAGTGACTTCTCTATAGACATTTGACATTTGGTAATGAAATGAAAATAAAATCGAATTGAAAACGATCACGTGTTAATTTCAGTGTAACTTCAATGTTGTAGTTCAATAAATAAATACGTTTGAACTTTGTGACCACTTATATTTGAATCAATATAATTCTAAGCACGAGTTGATAATAATTATTATTTTCTAGTGAAAATAGATCGATAAAAAATGACGTGCGTATAGGAACTGTTTTTTTTTTAAACGCACGTTGATCTTGTGCGGCAAGCTCGCTATTTTTACGTCAGTGTGCCACCAGCCAATGTAAATAATAATAATAATAAAATTATATATTAATTGATATTTAATATAACGAAAATACAACAGTCGTTATTCTAATATAGGAAAAAAAAATATTAGATTCCGAGTGGAACGATGAATGTATTGATTTTAAATGATGTGTGTTTTTTTTTGTGGCTGTATACACGATAAGTAGTCGAAATAATCCTTCGATTTTCAACTTAAGTATCTTGTTCGATGGGAAAGTGAATATTGTTGGTGCATTGGGGAGGAAAAAATTGACTTTAGTTTTTGGCGTAACTTAAAATAAATGAACACATATACATGAAATTTTCACTGGTCGTTTATATTTTCATTTTCTGTATACACGATCAAATTTTCAAAATATATTTATTTGTTTGAACTGTTTAGGAACACTTTCTGTTTCCAATTTCATTTGTCGTTTTTTCTATGAATGTCAATTAAACTTTATTTGTTTAGTAAAACAGCTTGAAAATTTAATACATTGTTACAATGACATTTGAAAAATATTAAAAATCCTTAGTTACAGTTTTTATTTATAAGCATTTAAAGTTCAAATACTGACAAAATACGGAAAAATCACGAAAATTAGCAAAATTAATTTGAGTTGAGAATTCATAAAATTTTTCTTTTTTAATCTAAGATTTGAAATGTAATCTAAGATTCCTCATAAGTTTTCTAGCTTTATCGAAGAAAAAAATGTCTACAAGCAATCAAATTATTTTATAAATTAATATTATATTAATTATTATATATTAGAAATTCCTAAATTTTTTCTTTTTTAATTTAAGATTTGAAAATTTAATACAAGATTCCTCAAAAGTATGTCTACCATTATAAAAAAAGTCTCCAGGAAAGTAAACTTAAATTGTAATGAGCGTCTGAAGTTCATATTTTTACAAAATTGGCCATTCACTCGATTTCTCATGTAGCGATTTTCTTATATTTTTGTAATTCAAAAACTAAAAACCGTCAGTACTTGAAATTTATATCATATGTTTATATTATTAATTCCTATACTTGATGAAATGTTGAAAATAATTTGACTCTTTGGGAGCTGTTTAAGAACATTTTAAATTTTAAATTTTTTTAGTTTTTTTACTAAAATGTCTATAAAATAGTATTCGTTGGGTCAAAAAGGTCCCTGAAATTGACCACACAATGTCAAAATTCTGGCTCCAAATTTTGTCAATAATTTTGACTGTTCTAAATCGTCGTGCGTAATTTGTAATTATTTTTTAAGCACGAATTTAAAATTTTTAAGTCATTCCTCCCTAATTTATTAACAAAAAGAATTTGGTCGAAATTAATAAAAAAGCCTAGTTAAATTTAAAAAATATCTGAATAGTATAAAAAATTTAAATAGAATAAAAAATCATCTAAATAAAAACTGATATCAAATAAAATGTAATTTCAATAAAAAAAGGTTACTTAAATTAAAAAACCTTAGTAGAAAAAAGACATATATCTTAAAAACCTAAATAGGATAAAAAGTCAGTTGAATGAAAAATTTATATTTAATAAAATACATTTTTTAATTCAGCTGATTTTTATCCTTTTTAGATTTTTAATCCTATTAAGATATTTTTTAAATAATTTTTGATTTTTCTAGGCTTTTTTTTTAATTTCGACCAAATTCTTTTTGGGAATAAATTAGGGAGGAATGACTTAAAAATTTTAAATTCGTGCTTATAAATACTTACAAATTGCGCATGACGATTTTTAACAGTCAAAAACTTTGAAATGCCAAAACGGCCAAGTTTCATCGAAGTTAGCTGTGATGTAAACTTTTGAGGATAATTGACTGTACTTGAAATTACTAAATTGTGCTTACATAAACTTACAAATGACTGACAACATTTTGAAAATGTGCTGCCAACTTCACGGACCTGGTCAAAAAGCTTGAAAATTTAATATAAGGCTCCTGATATTTTGTTACTTTTGCAATTGATAAATATTAAAAATACATACTCACAATTTTTTTATTATTATTTAAATCTTGAATTTTGACAAATACGTAAAAATGACGAAAATGTGCAAATTATTTTGTTAGATAATTAACGCTAGTGCAACTATAAACGCTTAATAGTAATAAATTACTTTAATTACAATAATATCATTAAAATATAATATATTATACCGCATGATGTATACCAGCATATACCAGTGATCCAGATTCCAATGAATAAACCAATGAACCATATCCAGTGACGAAAATATGAAAAAAATCATAAATTATTTACAGTGATGCACTCGTGTGTGCACTCTTTGTCATGAACCTTGATACACATTTCTATTTGATTTTTAACATTATAATATTATGATAATGGATGATAACAATTTTCATAGACAACATCAAATTGAATAACATGTTTTCCCATGACTCATCGGAATACATAATATGTCGATTTCCTAGTAATTCCTACCATGATAATATTTTAATTAATATACCTATACGCATGTATTTAGTTCAGACAGTTCAGTGCTTGCAGTATACCGTATTCGTTGTGTTTTTCAGCAATCAAAGATCCGTTTAATTTTACACAGCCAACACCTATATGAAAACGTCAAACCACATCTACACTTTAAATAATATTTATCTATTCCATCCCGATACTAAATTGAATAAAATAAGTAATATCAATTGAAAACCGACATTTGTAGATCATTCTGAACCGATAGATTCAGAGTATGATGATGGCAGTACGTGTGTACAGTTCAATAAAAAAAAAAAAAAACAATATTCATCAACAGTTTTAAGTTTATTAAAATATGATTTAATGAAAACACATTTCAACGAAACAGATTTCATTCGTGTACATTTTGCCGAGGTTGGGCATTAACGAGGTAAAAATTAAAGTTAAGTTACTTCCCACTAAGTTACATAACGAAATAAATTATTTTCTATGTTGTGAAATAACTTAATGTTAGTTAATTAATTTTAGTATCACGTTAAGTTGAGTTTTTTCCTAAAACTAATGATTTAAAATACAAGGTGATTCATTAAGCGTAACACACTCATTATCTCAAAAAGTATTAATGTTTTTTAAAATATTTTTTACATACTATCAATTTGTTAAAAAATTATATTTTAAAATACTTTTTATCCTTATAATTTTTAAGTTTTTTACTTTTTTGAATGACAGCATAGAGTTTTAATCTCACATTCCAAAGCAGAATATTTTTCTAAGGATTTTTATACATACAAATTGAATTTAGGACGAGTAGTTTATAAGTTATAAGTATTTAAAGTTTAGACAAGTGAATATGTAATATGAATATGTAATATAGGTAATAAAAATTAATTTTAAATTAATGGTTATATACAATCGCAGTATCGCGTATTTACATAATAATAATATATAAATAACAATATTATAATGTGGTAACAAATTACAATGGTAACTGGGCCATAAAGAAAAAAAAATATAACTATTATAGGTATTTATACGTAATTCATTCTTAAAATGAATTTGATTATTTTATGGACTATTCGGTAAATAATTACATAAAAATGATTTTATGAAATCGTTGGATTTTCTCATTGATTAAAATATTTAAATAGGTAGGTAGGTACTTATTACAACAATTAATTTTCATCAGAGTTGAGATGTTAAAAAAAATGTTGTTTAATACAGAAAAATATAATTTATGAGCATATAACTTATAAAACCTACCTGGCAACTCCTATTTAATATAATTTTTGTAACTGTTAAAATATACTTTTAATACGCAAGCTTATAAAATTTAAAAAATAACTAAAAATCAAAATCATTTACATATTTAAACTATAATTGGAGGACTTGGAACACTTTCCGATCCATCCGAAACGGGGCTGGTGTAGACGTCAACTTTTGAATTGCACGCGTGATAATGTTCAGTTGCCGTCACATACTTGGCACGCATGAGCGTACTGTCGAAAATGTCGTACCCAATTATTTCGCTTATGCACAGCGGACACGAGTGCGACGTTTCGAGCCAGGACGTTAGACAATTGACGCACAACAAATGCTGACAACGATTCAATTTGGCCATGTTTTTGTACTTTTCCAGACAAACCGGGCACTCGTCCCCCGTGAAATACCATAGCCCGCTGTCTTCCGGGTCGATGTTGAGCAAATGTTTACAAAAATCGTAATAAGTAGTTTGTTTTTCTAATTTTCGCCTGACCGTGAGGATTTCGTCCTGTTCGTTTTTGCTCTTCTCGATTTCGTCGGTTGTGTTCTTAATCATGATTTGTAATTTTTCGGCGGCGTTCTGTGTTTTTTTCAATTTATTGCTTAGTTGTTTTAGGCGATCTAACATGCCCTTGTGGTATACGTTGGCGTTATGCATATCCATGTCCAACTTTCGGAGATCGTCTCGTGCCTTCAACTCCACTTCCGTGGATATTTGCAACAGTCGAGTCGAATTATTATCCATTCGTTTTTTGCTAGGAGGTTGCCCGTCGTCACTTCGGCCTTCCATAATATCAATATTGTGGTGCACGAACAGCTCCTAACGAAACGCGGCTACGGGCTAAGTGAATACTGACTACTTATTAGCTTAACAAATTGAATTTAATTTACCATGCTGAGTTGTAGAGAGTATATATACCTAACGACTATCGGCCTGTGCTGGTTCGTCGGCGGTGAGATAGGAATGAAGGGGACGCGGCTTCGGCAATTAGTTTTAGCGAAAACGTAAATACCCACTAGATAATAATAATATAAAGTGCAAACTGACAGCTATATTATAAAGGCATATTCATTAGTCGTATTATAGGCAGATAATAACTTATTATTAATTTTATTATTATAACTATATAGAGTATAACTGACAAAAAAAAAAAAAAATTATGCCATTTAAAATTGATAAAATTATATGATTAGTAAATATAGTTTAAGAAATAAACCCATGTTATAGCAAACTTCCAAAAATAATATTTTTAAAAAAGCTATTGAGTTCCATATTAATTTAATCAAAAAAATATTGATATTCAAATAAATTCTAAAAAAGAAACTACTTCACTTAGATAAATGTTTTTACCATCCAGATCGTCCTTATAATCAGATTCACAAATTTGCTATTTTGAATTTATTCAAAAAAATTTAAATAACATTTTTCATTTTTCATTTTCGGTATTAAAATTTTTATTACACGTGTAGTGCAAGAGGCTGTAAATTATATATATATATATAAAAAAAATGTAAAATAGTAACAAATGAACAAAAGTTATTCCAAAAGTTAGTTCTATCTATTACACCCTGTATAATATATACAAATGAATGTTTGTATGTCTGTCCTTTTTCCATTCCTAAGCGGCTGGGCCGATTGCAATAAAATTTGGTACAGAGATAGATTAGACCCCTGGAAAAAAGATAGAGTAAGTACAAAAGGGTAAATTGGAGGTCCAACCCGGGGAGGTGCTCAAACAGGGATTTTGAGATTTACGATTTACATTTTTGTTTGTAAAGTAAAATGGTAGCTTTGGTTTTAATATTAATAATTATTATTATTAAAGCGATAAGCCAGTTAGCTCAGTGGCACTTCTATGTATTTTAATACAGGATGACTCAAGTTCAAACCTCGATTTCTCAAGTAGCAATTTTTTTATTTTGTTGTGATTTAAAAACGAATAACTGTAGATACTTGAAATTTACATTATAAAATATTTTATTGTATTAGCTATTGTAGTTTTTAAATCTTGAATATATTTATTTTCAGTATGAAATTGATTTTAATATATGTAGTATGTAGTATGTACCTATATACATTTTTTTTTAACTACACGACATGTATTAAATTGGGAGTTTGTAATTTGCACCAAATTGAAGATATGTAATTTACACCACTCCAGGTAGTCGAAAGTAGTGTTTGTAATTTGCACCAAAATAAGGGTATGTAATTTGCACCACCCTCAGGTAGTAAGAAATAGGAATTTTAATTTGCACCAAAATTAAAATCGATTATTTTTTCGCTAGTATCATTAGTATCGATAGTGTTATTACTCGATATTCTCGTTGACGCGACGTCAAGACTAGATGAACATGAATGACAATAATAATTTTTCGGGATTTTTCACCTTATCTGGTAATATTTTGACGTTTTACGTCCAATTGTCGGTCGTAATCGCATTATACCACGTTATATATATATTTATATAATGTATATCAGTTTATTATTTTGATCAATGATCAAATACCTACTAAGCTATACGTTTAGTCTTGCCGTTTCGTCGTAATACGTAATTTGACATAACATTTTTTTATTGCAGTATTTAATTTTTTTCTTTAAATATGGAAGTTAAGTTAAATAAAAGTAATCGAGAGGAAGATATTTTAGAATTCGATAACCCTACTTTATATATTGCATATAAACAAAAACTACAAATATAATTCGCTTGGCTTTGTATACAGAGAAAATGTTCAGCAAATTGTTTACTACAGTGAAAATTTGACCAGCTATTTATAAATAAAAAACTAAGCTTAAGTTATATTAGGATATAGCAACTTGTAAGTTGGTACTATCGACCAAATTTTTTTGTATACTATCGAAAAAATAATCGATTTAAATATTGGTACAATTCCTATTTCTTTCTACCTGAGGGTGGTGCAAATTACTTACCCTTATTTTGATGCAAATTCCAAACGCATTAAAAAAAAAAAATGGTGCAAATTACACATGTTTTATATATTTTGGTGCAAATTGAGTACAGCCATTAAATTAGGTACCTACTATGTATATTAAGTATAATTTAAATAAATATATGTATTTATATGAAAAAAAAGTAACAGGTTGTTAACCATGTTGAGTTAGTCTTATTTTCTAGTTAACTTGTAACTCTTACAATTTTGCAAAGAAAAGAAAGTGGATTTTGACTTTAGCCAAACTAACATTTTAGATTCTGAGTGGAACGATGAATGTATTAATTTTACAATGATGTGTGTTTTTTATTTTTTATTTTTTTAATTTTGTGTCTGTGTACACAACAAAATCTGTTTTCGAAAAAATCGATTTTGGTTTTTGATGTAACTCTAAAACAAATAAATATACATGATATATTATACATTATATATTACATGTATATACATGAAATTTTCACTGGTTGTTTATATTTGCATTTTCTATACACGATAACATTTTCAAAATATTTTGTTTTGTTTTGAACTGTTTAGGGACATTTTCATTTTCATTTTTTTTTAGTTTTTTTCTAGAAATATCAATAAAATTTTATTTGTTGGTTAAAAAAACTTGAATATTTAATAGAAGGCTCCTAGTATATTTTTTCAAAGGCAGATGAAAAATATTAAAAATCGTTAGTCACAGTTTTTTTTATAAGCATTAAAGTTCAAAAATTGACAAAATATGGAAAAATCACGAAAATTAGCAAATTATTTTGAGTTAAGAATTCGTAAAAATTTTTCTTTTTAAATCTAAGATTTGAAAATGTAATACAAGATTACTCATAAGTTTTTCTACCTTTATCAATAAAAAAATCTCTACCGGACAGTCAAATTAAATTTTTATGAGCGTTTGAAATTCAATTTTTTACAACATTGGATATTCACTCGATTTCTCATGTAGCGATTTCCTTATTTTGTTGTAATTCAAAAACGAATAACTGTAGATACATGAAAATTTCACTGAATGTTCATATTAGCATTTCTTATACACTGTACAATTTTGAAAATATTTTGACTCTTTTGAGCTGTTTACGGACATTTTCAGTTTTCAATTTTTTTAGTTTTTTTTCTATAAATATCAATAAAGTTTTATCTGTTGGGCCAAAAGTGTAAAATTTAATACAAGGCTCCGATATATTGTTACAATAGCAATTGAAAAAATATTAAAAATACATGGGCACAATTTTTTTTATAAGCATTTAAAATCGAATTTTGACAAAATTTATCAAAATCTCGAAAATATCATTATTGTAATTAATAAATTATAAAACGTTTTAGTTTTTTATAGCTAAGGATTACAAATTTAAAACAAAGGTCTCATAAATAGTTCATACTGTAACCAAAAAATCTAAAAAATATATGAACACAGTTATTTTTTACAGACATTTCAAATTCAAATTTGGACGAAATTACATATTAAAAACCTAGAATAACTATTTTAGTTATTTTGTTGTGATTGACTAATGTTATTCGTGAGTACTTGAAACTTCTAAAGTGTACTATTATATATCTATGATAGTATCACGGTTTTTTTGATGTTTAACGCGTTATAAGTACCTAATGGATATTGGGATATGATTAATTTGGAATTCATTATAGGTACCTATTATAGGTCAAATTTTGGTTTAGTGCCATAGATATGTATATAATATGTCTTATACCTAGACTGACATGCCGTCTCCGCTCAGAATCGTTTTTCTTATACAATGATATTACATCGTTGAATTCAAATTTAATATCATCCATTATACAGTTACCCACTTGTAACCTACTGTACAGCAGAGCGACACCCACTGCCCACCTTTTTCTACTCTATGTTTAGCTCAACGAGTTAAAAAATATAAATATTTAATGTCTTCACCCATTATTTCACCGACCGTGAAATCCGCATGTCGTTTCACAGCAGTTGTGTACTACGCGTTCGTCACCAACAGCCGAAGGTTGTGGAATACTTCCGGTTAATCCTAACTGCGAATATTGAAATCTGAAGTGCGCTAGCGATTTTGAGTTACCTTCATGTATTCGGTACGTAAGAGTAAGGCTGGGCATTAACGAATTAAAAAGTTAAAGTTAAGTTAAAAATCTAATTTTATTTTAACTTTTTAACTTCACTAGTTACTTTTGGCTTTTCATTAACTTAACTGTTAACTTACTAAATTTATTTTTTAATGAACGTGAAATTAGCGAATTCATTTTTCATTATAAGAAGTAAGTTAAGTTAATTTATTTTGATTTTAATTTAATTATATTTCACGATTTGAATCCATTTCGTTTTCATGTCAACAAATATTTATCTTGAATTGTTTAAATTTGAATTTGTATAAACAAATTAACCTTTTTTGAACTTAATAAAAAGTTAACAAAAAGTGTGTATTAACTTTTAACTGAATTAAGTTAACCTATAGTTAAATTACTTTTAGCTTTTTGTAATTGGTGCATATTAACTTAACTTAACTGAGTTAAAAAAAAAATCACTAACTTGCCTAGCCTTCCGTAAGAGAGTATGGTCAAAAACGTCGTATCCAATTATTTTGCTTCTGCATAGAGGCCACAAATGTGACAAGAACTCTAAAATAAATTAACGTAGATACATGACATTTTTTCTGGTTGTTTACTGGAAATTTTCTTTACGTTATTTTATAAGCATTTAAAGTTCAAATCTTGACAAAATACGTAAAAACTACGTAAAATTTGAAAATTCTATTGAGTTAGAAATTCCTGAATTTTTCTTTTTAAATTTAAGATTTCAAAATTTAATACAAGCTTAATTATAAGTATGTCTACCTTTATCAAAAAAAAGTCTACAAGAAAGTAAGATTACATTTTTATGAGCGTTTGAAGTTCATATTTTTACAAGATTGGATATTCAGTCAATTTCTCATGCAGCGATTTTCTTATATTGTTGTAATTCAAAAACTAAAAACCGTAAACACTTGAAATGTATATATATTTTTATATTATCAATTAATATACTTGATGTTGAAAATATTTTGACTCTTTTTGAGCTGTTTAATTACATTTACAATTTTCAATTTTTTTGTTTTTTTTTCTATAAATGTCAATAAAATTGTATTCGTTGGGTCAAAATGCTTGAAAATTTAATACAAGGCTCTCAGTAAAGTATACTGTTACGTTTACAGTTGATGAATATTAAAAATATATACTCAACATTTTTTTTTATTATTATTTAAAGTTTGAATTTTGACAAATAGGTACATAAAAATCACTGGAATTTGTTAGATGATTAACACTAGCTAGTACAACTATAAATGCTTAAAAGTAATAAATTACTTTAATTACAAAATAATATTATTAAAATATAATATAGTATAATAATGATTTTATATCTTTGAATTCAAGTTTAACACATCTGTTACAGTGATTTTATAGACACCCAATGGAAAGCAGAGTGACTATTTTATTTTGTGGTATTTCTAATCTTCTTGAGCTGTATTCCATAAAACTTCATATTTTTGAACCTCACTAATTAATAGTTTGTTTTATTGAAATTTTGTAATGAAATGTAAATAAAATCGAATTAAAAATGAACACGTGTTAATTTCATTTCATCTTAATCTTATAGTACGATAATTAAATACGTTTGAACTCTCCCATTTATAATTGAATCAATATATTTCTAAGCTCGAGTATAATACGAATATCTAGTAAAAACATGCTGATAAAAAATGACGCTCCTAGGAACTAGTTTTTTTTGTTTTTAACGCTCTTTGATCTTGTGCCCACTCGCGATTTTGTACTACCGTATGCCACCAGCCAATGTCAATAATAATAATAATGTAGAAAAATATTATAATTCAATATTATTAAAACACAACAGTCGTTATTGTAACACAGGAAAAAAAAATATTTTTTTTGATTGTGGCGTGTCGCTTATTGACACATATATATCTACATATAAATTAATATATACCTATTATGTTCTTTATAATTGTACATTTGTGAAGAAATTTAAAAAAGTTTAGTTAAAAGTAACTTAACTTTAACTATTCAGGCTTGGATAAATTGCTGTTCAATATTGTTCGATATTTTGACAGTTGATCATTTTTATTAGATTAGTTGTAACTTGTAATCAATCTCTTCTCTATTTATTATTAGTAGAACACAACAATAATATTATATCCGGCACGCGTTATTATTATCGTATTTTCGATGCGATGACAATACATTTATCTGATGGTAAATTCCAACAATTAAAATTCAAAGTGTGGAGCAGATTACATATTCCATTTCGTTTTTCGTCGTGGCGCAAATTACCAAAATGAATTTTTAGAGGTGCCGCAAAGTACATGTTTAACTTTTATATTTTGACTCTTGTCAATATGTTGGCTCTGTCTGATTTTTGAAAGCTGCAAATCATATATACCACTACATCTATATAATAATAATGTAGGTTATAATGTAGGTATTTAATGTAGGTATATATATATATGCAGCTTTTTAAATCAGACAGAGCAGTAGTATATCCAAGCCTGAATAGTTAAAGTTAAGTTACTTTTAACTAAACTTTTTTAAATTTCTTCACAAATGTACAATTATGAAGAACACAATATATATTATATTATATTATTAAATATTTTCCTCCAGAAATAAGTTATTTTTTAATTAAAATCAATTAGGTTATGCTCATATATTACAAGCTATTTAATGTGTTCAATAATATTTATGATTTTTATTATTTTAAACCATATTAATGGGTATTGATAAGATAATTAATAAAAAAATAATAATAATAATAACTTAACTGAGTTCAAAAAAAATTAGGGTTAACTGGTTAACTTTACATGTTTTAAAATGTTTCTATCACTTAACTCAACTCAGCTAAAAAGTATCATTAACTTACCAGCCGCCGGGTTTGAGTATATCATGATATTATTTACAGTTATCCGATATTAAAAATATTAAAAATATATTTATTTAATATACATAGAGTACGTGAGTACGTCGTATACTTATATACATTTATTTATAATTATTCATTTTTATAATATTACTAATTTTTTAATAAAATGACCTTGATTATTTAGTTATTTTAAAGTGGTGCAAATTACATTTTTTTGTATTTAAACGATGGCGCAGATTGCTTAATGCACTTTTATTAAGTTTTGTGTGGCGCAAACTACAACCTTAAAATGGAGCAAATTATCAAATTAATTTTAGATGTGGCTCAAATTACATAAATATTTTTTTGGAGGGGTTGTTTTTAGTGAAAATAACATACGCCCCTGCCATAATATACGTTCCTATTTTATTTTTAATATTAATATTATAATGATAGATGATAAAAATGTTCATAGACAACATAAAATTGAATAACATGTTTTCCCGTGACTCATCGGAATACATAATAATATATGGCGATTTCCTAACATGATAATATTTTGATTAATATACCACACGCATGTATTTAGTTCAGACAGTTCAGTGCTTGCAGTATACCATATTAGTTGTGTTTTTCAGCAATCAAATATCCATTTAATTTCACACAGCCAATACCTATAAAAAAAACGTCAAACTACATCTACACTTTAAATAATATTTATCTATTCCATCCCGATACTAAATTAATAAAATAAGTAATACAATGAAACCCGACTTTTAAGGTCATTCTGAACCGATAGATCCAGAGTATGGCTGTACGTGTGTAAGTTTAATAAAAAAAGAAACCATTATTCTTCAACAGTTTTACGTTAATTAAAATATAATTTAAAAAAAACACATTTCAACGAAACAAATTTCATTCTTGTACATTTTTCTGAGGTTGGGCATTAACGAGGTAAAAATTAAAGTTAAGTTGCTCCCAACTAAGTTACATAACGAGATAAATTGTTTTCTATGTTTTGAAATAACTTTTGTGAGTTAATTAATTTTAGTGTCACGTTAAGTTGAGTTTTTTCCTAAAACTGATGATTTAAAATATATTCAGTTTTGTCAATATAAATTTTATTAAAAAAAAAAAAAAACAATACAAATAACTGAAAATATAAAATTAATATTATGTATTAAATATATTATATTAAATAGGTAAATAAATAATAATTTATAATCATGGTTTATACAATCGCAGTATCGCGTATTCACATAATATATCAATAACAATATTAATATAATGTACAAACAAATAACAATGGTAACCGGGCCATTCAAAAAAAAAATATAGCTATTATAGGTATGTATACGTAATTTATTCTAATTATGAATTTGATTATTTTATGGACTATTCGGTAAATAATTACATAAAAATGATTTTATGAAATTGTTGGATTTTCTCATTGATTAAAATATTTAAATAGGTAGGTACTTATTACAGCAATTAATTTTCATCATAGTTGACATGTTAAAAAAAATGTTGTTTAATACAGAAAAATATAATTTATGAGCATATAACTTATAAAACCTACCTGGCAACTCCTATTTAATATAATATTTGTAACTGTTAAAATATACTTTTAATACGCAAACTTATAAAATTTAAAAAATAACTAAAAATCAAAATCATTTACATATTTAAACTATAATTGGAGGACTTGGAACACTTTCCGTTCCATCCGAAACGGGGCTGGTGTAGACGTCAACTTTTGAATTGCACGCGTAATAATGTTCAGTTGCCGTCACATACTTGGCACGCATGAGCGTACTGTCGAAAATGTCGTACCCAATTATTTCGTTTATGCACAGCGGACACGAGTGCGACGTTTCGAGCCAGGACGTTAGACAATTGACGCACAACAAATGCTGACAACGATTCAATTTGGCCATGTTTTTGTACTTTTCCAGACAAACCGGGCACTCGTCCCCCGTGAAATACCATAGCCCGCTGTCTTCCGGGTCGATGTTGAGCAAATGTTTACAAAAATCGTAATAAGTAGTTTGTTTTTCTAATTTTCGCCGGACCGTGAGGATTTCGTCCTGTTCGTTTTGGCTCTTCTCGATTTCGTCGGTTGTGTTCTTAATCATGATTTGTAATTTATCGGCGGCGTTCTGTTTTTTTTTCAATTTATTGCCTAGTTATTTTAGGTGATCTAACATGCCTTTGTGCAATACGTTGGCGTGATGCATATCCATGTCCACTTTTAGGAGATCGTTTCGTGCCTTCAACTGAATCTCCATTGATATATGTGACAATCGGGACGTAATCATATTATCAATTTGTTGTTGGCTCATAGGTTGCAAGTGGGCACTACGTGTTGCCATATTGTCAATATCTCCGTTCACGAGCTTCTCCCAACACAACGCGGCCAAGCGAACACTGCTACAACTGACTAATGAGTAGCGTGATAAATTGAGTTGAATTTATACCATGCTGAGTTGTAGTGAGTATATACCTAACGGCAGTCGGCCTGCTCCGATTTGTTAGCGGCGAGTGAGGGACGAAGGGGATGCGACGTCGGCAATTAGTTTTGGCGAAAACGTAAATACCTACTAGATAATAATAACAATAATAAATAATAATATAACGGATAGGTATCTATATTATAGAGGCATAGCCACTATCCGTGTTTTAGGCAGATAATAATTTATTATTAATTTTATTATTATAACTAAATAATATTTATAAAAATAAATGAGTTTCTGTCTGTATGTCCTTTACCAAACTCAAGTCCAAACCACGATTTCTCAAGTAGCGATTTTCTTATTTTGTTGTAGGTAATTACAAAACAAATAATTGTAGATACTTGAAATGAACGCCATATTTTTATTTTATCAATTCTCATATTTAATAAACTTTTCCAAATATTTTGATTTGTTTTGAGGTGTTTAGATACATTTTCAATTTTTAAATTTTTTTCTATAATTATCAATAAAATTGTATTTGTTGGGTCAAAAAGCGTGAGTTGAAAAATATTAAAACACATATTCTATCTACAAGCATTTAAAGTTTGAATATAATATTATATTATAGTTGGTATATATTTTTTTGTAAAATTATGGCAATTTTAATTTTCAAAATTTGTTAAAAGTATAAGTTTTAGTACTTAAAGTAGGGACTGGAACCTTGATGATTTTTACGGTTCCGGTTCCCTTTAGGTTCCCAGTAAAACTAACATTTCGGTTTTGGTTCATATTTTGGTCATGATTTGTTAGGTACCTGTTTTGGTATTATACTTATGTAAAAAAATGTGTAAAGTAAAAGTATCGGTTCCGGTAAGGTTCTGGTTTTTAAATTAATTTAAGTAAGGGTTCCGGTACTAAAATTAATTTAAATAAGGATTTCGGTGAGGTTCCAGCCCCTGATTTAAAGTACCATAATACCTATGTGTATTAACATTATTTTAATGTTAATATGTCACAATATATTGTATAATAACAATTATTATTCATTTTCCTCATATTATACAATTAATTATTTCTTGCATTCCAAATAACCCACCTATTCCGATTAGATAGGATTTCCAAGTTTAGATTACGTAATGGGTATATTATCCATTTGATATAATTCCGGTATGTATGGGAAATCCCCGCTATCGAAAACAACCATGATACAGCTAGTACATAACATACTGCTATCACTCCCGATGCTCACCTTTCGACCTGCGACTTAACAGCCGATAACAGAGCAGCGCGCAGTCCGTGACTTTGAAACAAGTCGTGGCCGCCGATTTCGTGACCTAGTTTCGCTGTAATTGGAATGGGCGATTGTAAGCGCCTCCAGTTTTGTTTTCTTTCCTGGAATGGGTATATGGAAACTCCGCCTGTAGTTAGGCCTTCCTTAAGTAAAACTAAATAATTTATCTCAACTAAGCAAACTCAAAAATTCAAGATGAAAAAAAATTATTGTGTTAGAGAACGCTATAAATACTAAATAGTTATAATAATAGATTTATATTAGACTTAATAGTTATTAGTTAGAATATCTACAAATTGTATCACATAGTATTAGTAAATCGCCGATTTTTTAAAACACGGACGGTTTAGGCCACCTTCCGGAGTGACGTTGCTACCTACATGATGGCTATGCAAATATCCACGGATGTCCCTCGGGTCCAAGCACGATTTAAGATAGTATGGTGGCCCATCGACCCATTAGAAAAATGTTATCACACGGCATACGGTTTGAAACGAAAAGTCAAGTGATCTACGGGGTCCCCCGCATGCAGCGCTCATATCGGTTCAAATTAAAACTAATAAAAATTGTTATGTTATACCTATATACAATAAAAATATATATACCTAATGATCATATTATATTATCAATTATAAAATAGTCCACTAGAAGCGCTAGCACCGGGGGTCCGATTTAAATCCAATGTCTTCTTATCATACCTCGTTGGGCTACCATACTGGCATACTATCTTAAATCGTGGGCCCAAGCTCCAGTCGACCACTAAGCAGAGAACGACAAAATTTTTAAAGCCGCCGCGGATGAAAAAATATTTTGACGCAATCGTTACACCAATCGACATAAACGAAAACGTTCGAGTCACGGTTGCTGGAGCTAGAAGCTATCATGGTGCAGTTTTTCACAGTAGCTACAAAATGTTGGGATTCCTCGGCTCATCATCCATCACCCTTATAAGTCACCACTTGCACACACGATGGCTACCGGTCGGGTAGGTGGTATTCGAGTACAATGTGTCGTATACGCCAATCACAGACTTACACAAATAAACGAACCTTTTAATTATAATAAGCACTTTTACTAAAACTTTGACGTCCAGTGATGATGGAGTTACACGATCACCACCTGGCTCTAACACTGGTGGTCAGTGAGTGGTAATCGAGTCACACAATCACCACTCACTGACCCTCTTCTGTCTTAACATATTACTTATATATCAGTTTTACTGTCGAAGCACATCGGTAATATCGATATTAACTTTAACCTAGTTACATTTAACATTATACTTATTGACAATGCTTAAAATTATATTAATTGTTATTTTATTACATAATTGTTATCTTAATCTAATTTGTAAGAATGCTTGTTTGTACGTTGTTACTTAGCTTATTGAGTATTGTTTAATTTGTTTTGGTATTTTACCTGTTACATAGTAGAATTGTTTACTTAACCTGGTTAATAAAAATAGTTTTAACTGTAATATTTGTATATATTATGCATTTACGCATGATACAACAAATGTAGACAGCGCACAGCCGGGCTTCAGTCCCATTGCTGCCGTAAGTGAACGACCACTTTTCAACGACCAGGGATGGTCACAGGGACGATCGGTGCTAATACCGTACAAGGACTTGCACACAGCAAAATCTGCACTACCCGAGTTCTACAAAACACCCCGTTTTTGACAAAATTTGTTGAAAAATACAAAAAATAGTACAATTTTGATTTGCAAATTCTAAAAATCAATTTGAAAAACAATATTAATTTGCTAAATGTTTGCACTAGTTTGGATAATTGTTATGAAGGTGGGGTGGGGAAACTTCATCACCATCTAATATCGGCAGAATAATATATGTACAGATTAGCCGAATATTTTGGCATAATATATCATTTTTTCCCCAATAAGGACTAATGAGTGGCTAATGTTAACCCACATTACTCCATACAAAGACATTAACAGATATAATATTTTATTTTTTGTTCAACTGATTATAGAATACAATCTTATTTCCTTTTAATCTTTTAAATCAATTTTTAAAATTAAATTTTTTTTTATTCATTGGATTTGTATTAATTGACTAGCTGATCCTATGCACTTCGTTGCCCGTTAAATGTACCAACTCTATATGACTCAAACTTTGTTCAATTCGTTATTTAAAATTCAGTGTATGGTGTTCAAAATTTATCTTAACTATTCTGTTGCCGGGAATAAAAATGCTGATTCGCAGCAGTATATATCAGGTAGGCAATCTACTTGTGATTATGTTCAACTCCTTTTGGGTGTAACTTGCTGCGGTAAGTGCAACTCAGCCACCCTGGTAGGCAATGTTCAATAATTCGATTTGATGCAAGCTTGTACCTGATCTGCCCGAATAACCGATGGCAACCAATAAATAAAATGCTAATTTCTACTGTAGACTGTAACCAATGGCTACTATTAATAAATAAAAATAAAATGTCCAATTTCCATCTTGAATCTCAATGTCCCTGTTTGAGCACCTATTTAAAATGCGAATTTCAGCAAATCCTTTCTTATTGCACGGTGAAAATATGAGAAGAACCTCTATTCCAAATTTCAAGTCCGTACGTTGCCTAGTTTTTGAGATACAGCGATCAGTGAGTGAGTGGTATTTGGATTTTATATGTATAGATTATATTAATCTGCCGTAGGTTGAATTAAGTAAAAACAACAAACTTGATATAACTTTGATTTTGATACTTCGGAGTTAAATTATACACTTACAAACAAACCACACGGGGTCCGAAATCTGCAGTACAAACCTACTGCAGCTAATCTCACGGACAACGCCGGTCTAGATGGCAATATATATAATATAATTGAAAATTGAAAAAAACTGCTTCCACAGCATGTTATACCCAAAAATAGTTGAACAATCAACATTCCTTTTTCTGAGAAACGCAGGAATATTCAGCTAGTAATAAATATAATACGATTATAATTAATTGATTAGGTATGCAATATGCATGTTGCATGACCATTTACTTTTTATAATTTAAAAAAATATTACTGGATATTTATACATTTAAAAAAAAAATTAATAAATAACTTAACTTAAGTTAATAAATTAATCGTAAGTTTCCATATAATTTTTAACTGAGCTAAAAAAAAAAATTAGGATAACAATATTTCTTAAAACTTTTTAGAATGTTTACTATGAGCTAACCTTACTCAATTAAAAATTATCATTATTGAGTTTGACCAATGACCAGACTTGCATATTTGTCTCACATTAAATTGCCTACTTGCATTTTACAAGGCACATGTTTGTACCTGTGCATCTCACAGGCAAATATTATATCGTTTGACATGTCATATTATTATTATGCGTGACTCCTAGCTAGAATATTATATTGGTATTTTACACAATATACACACATTATACAAATGTGTGCAAATTATTATATAGTGGTTAACGGTAGTGAAGATGGGAAGTAGGTGGTTAGGTGGTTGATTGGTAAGGTGGTTGGAGGATGCGGTGGTCTGACGATGGGACGGTTTGATGATGTGTCCCCAGAATCCAGATAGGCTTTTTTATACTACTGACGCAGTAATTTATATTAAATGGATTCTATTTCTGCATCTCTTCAACTCTTATGGAAAATGCTACCGGTGGGATAGAGAGGTCCAACGCGTTGAACAATCGCATTATTCTTATAATATTATAGATATAAAAGAGTAAAAGACAGTACACACGAGCAGACCCACCACAAAAATGTTGGGCCCCTGTATAGGTTTATGATATTTATATACGATTGACAGTCGATGATAAACTGTACCCGTAATCGTACGTAGCTACACAAATTATTGAAATAATATTAATTGTGACATCGATACTTTAAAAACGCCAAAAATTAGGAAAACCATTAAGTTCAAAGATTCTCAATACGCGTTAATGAATTTCCAAATGGGACGTTTAATAGTGATGGTCATTTTTTTTACCCATATACGAGGTATATCCAGAAAGTAAGTTCCGTTTTGTATGTATATTTTGCATGGGAACAATTTAATCATCCGCCCTACAGTCCAGATTTGGCACCCAGTGATTTTCATCTTTTTTTACACATGAAATCATTTATGGGTGGCCAGAACTTCAACGAAGATGATGAGGTGAAAAAGGCTATTAGCGCATGGTTACAATCACAGGCGTCATCTTTCTATGATGAAGGGATACAAAAACTAGTACCTCGATATGATAAGTGCTTAAATAATGGTGGTAACTATGTTGAAAAATAGAGTAATACATGTATTTTATATTCAAATAAAATTTATAATAAAATTTACACAATTACATGTTTTTATTGCCCAACGGAACTTACTTTCTGGACACGCCTCGTATTATAATGTTTTTAGCACATATTTTATAAATAAAACTTCCATTTTTATGTACATATTTTTGTATTCTTATTACATATAAATCCATTCCTTACTCTTTACTTTAGAAGTTTTCAATTAACGCGTTACCTGACATTATTTTTATCGCGTTACGTTAGTTTTACTTTCAAAAATTTACAAATAAATTTACTTTTGTAAACATGAATTACGAAATCATTCCATAATGGCTAATAATAATTAATAGTATTTGGTATACTATTAATTATTTTATTTTATTACGCATTTTGTACGCCGATGTGCCACCAGCAAACGGAAACAATAATATTGGCTATAGCTCTGCAATACGACAATACAACAACAGCCGTATAGAATATAGAAAAAAAAATTATGTTTATTTTTGATGATGTAGTGCTCGAGCACAATAGTTAGAAATACTCGAAAATATTATAATATCGTATATTACATAAATAGTGTTCTAAAATTTCATGAAACTCGAGAAATATTTCGTTTTGATGAAAAATAAAAATACAATTTTAATTTAAAACTATAGTAGTAAGAGCAGTAAAGACCTCTACTTAGTTAAATATTAAGTGGACAATGTTATAGAAATATCGCTTAGGTTCATCGTACATTATATAAATTATGTAATATTAGAAATCTATCTTAAATATAATATTTTCATGATTGGAAATTGAATATTGCTAGTCACTATGATAATTATCACTAATGATTCAATGAAATCAGTCTGACCATCTAGTGATGATTTTATGAAACATGCCGAAGAACACAACATTTAAAAAAAAGGTGGGCAAGTGCAGGTATCGCTCTGCTGTATAGTAGGTGGGTCACTATAATGGATGGTGTTAAATTTGAATTCAATGATATAATATCGTTGTATAAGAAAAACGATTCTGAAGTCAGCCTATGATATTATTAAGTATATATTTGGAATGTCGTGAGGTAATTACAAAACTTAATTATTCATTTTCTGGTTAAGCAATGTGTTCCTTTATTTTACATCTTAACAACAACTGTTACGCACACACATAATAAACTAACAAATTAATAGTAAGCTTAACACAAATACAAATACAGTGTTGCCAACATCATAACACCTTAATCCTAAATTTAAAACATCATTTTAATAGTAAACGCTAAACATAATATTGTTACAGAACTCAACATAAATCTTATTCAAATATTTTACAAAATAATCATATACTTAATGTTAACAAACAATATCTTTTTATTTAATTATACAATTTAAAATCATTTTCCTAATACTTTTCTACTTTTTTTTTTTTATAAATCTAAACGTTTAGGTGACTTCTTGTTTCTAACAGGCCTAACGTTATTTTGTTTAACTTCAGGTAAACTAAATTTATCATTAACATTAACATCTGTAATATTCTGTTTCTCTTTTTCATCAACTTTTTCACTAGCTTTTTTAATTTCTAACTCCTGTGTTTTTATCTCTTTCTCTTTTTCTTTAACTTCCTCTAAAAACTCTTTTTCATAGTTTTTTATATAGTCATCATACTTACTAAATTCTTCCAACTTAATTATGTGATTTATATGTCTTCTCCATACTAACTCTTTATCTTCAAGGCTAACTATTTAATTTCTGTTTCCTAACACTTCTTCTATCACTGCCTTTTCCCAATTTTTTTTATTTGGATTAGAAAAATCTCTCGCATAGACTACATCTCCTTCCTTGAAAACTTCATTTCTAATAGTTTTATTTTTATAACTCTCAGTATTTTTCTTTATCTTTGAATGTCTTAGAAAATCTAAACGAGTTTTTAACTTTCGCCCAAACATTAATTTTGCCGGACATTCATTTGTTGTCCAATGTGGTGAGTTTCTATACATGAATAAATATCTGTTTATTAATGTACTCACAGTCACACCTTTATTAATTTTATCTTTTAATGCCTTGTATATTCCTCTTTTAAGAGATTTAACTGCGTTTTCAGCTGCACCATTTGTAGCAGGATGAAAAGGTGGTGATGTATAAAATACAATTCCATTTTGTTTACAAAATTCTATGAATTCACTAGAACGAAATTGTGGACCATTATCAGAAATGATTTTATTTGGTAAGCCAAAACGTCCAAAAATCTCCCTCAGTTTCTCAATTAAATACCCACTATTCATTTTACTCATTTCTATAACTTCAGGCCACTTTGTAAACGCATCAATCCATACTAAATAATTTTTGTTATTTAAATACAAAAAAATCTAAATGTACTCTGTCTAAAGGACCAACGGATTCTGCCCACTTAGCTTGCCTATCTACTACTGGACTAGCCTGACACGATACACAGACTTCACAACTTTTAACATAACTTTCTATTTCTTTGTCAAGTCCAGGCCACCAAAAATAAGATCTTGTATATTCCATATCAACCATAACTTCTCCGACTGGATTTATTATTTCTCCATTGTATGTTTTTAATTTAATTAAACTAGGAATGACTTTTAATTTAGACCAATATTTTTTATATAATTTAAAAGGAATTATAGATCTTCCTGCCCCAGAGTCTAATTCCATATCAATGTATATTTCTTCAATTTTAATTTTCACAAAATATGGCTCTACACTTTTTTGATAACCTACTTTTAATTGAAACATTTCTACTGATTCTGACTCAGTTTCTACTTCTACATAATGGTTTTTTGATTTGTTTTTACACATTTTAGCTAAATGTCCTATTTTATTACAAATTTTACATTTATAAGTTTTATACTTACAATTACTAAACGTATGGTTACTTAATCCGCATGTAAAACATTTTCCTTGACCTGCTGCTTTACTGTTGTCTGAAAAGTCTGTTGGTTTTTTCTTATTTGTTATTTGCCCATATTCTGATGCTACAACTTTTTTCTTGACATCCTTTGATATGTTCCATTTTTTTACTTTGTGTACTTCCACTGGAACATTTGATTGCATGGTTACTTCTTTCTGCATTGCTAATTCTACTATTTTGTTTAGCTCTTTAGATATTTCTTCTTCGCATAACCGGTCTTTAATTTGTCCATTTCTCATACCAGTTATAAACTTGTCTCTAAGAACATCAATTAATCCTTTTCCAAATTTACATGTTGTTGCCGAATTTTTTATTCTTGCATACCAATCTTTTACGTTTTCATTAGAATTTTGTCTTAAATTATAAAATTCTTCCCGCTGTCTAAAGACTAACACTTTAGGAGAGAACTGCCTATTTAATATAGTACATAGTTCCTTATACGGTCTTTCGGATGGTATTAAAGGGTCACACAAATCTTTAAGTGTCTTGTATGCTTTTTCCCCAATACATGTAATTAACAACGGTACCTTGCGTTCCTCCGGTATTGTATTAACTAAGAAAAATTGTTCCATTCTTTCTTGATAAATTGACCAGTCTCCATCCATTTGGAACTCCGCCAATGATCCAATAACACCCGTCATCTTTTAGTTGTGTTCTCCTTGAACTACCTTGTTTTGCTGCATGTGGTACGTCACCTTGACTACCGTCTGCCTTCAGACTCTCGCTTATAGCCTTTAATCTGATTGACGATTTGTTTATTTTTTAACGCTGTATATTTATCTTCGTCGCCATTTGGAATGTCGTGAGGTAATTACAAAACTTAATTATTCATTTTCTGGTTAAGCAATGTGTTCCTTTATTTTACATCTTAACAACAACTGTTACGCACACACATAATAAACTAACAAATTAATAGTAAGCTTAACACAAATACAAATACAGTGTTGCCAACATCATAACAATATTTTGATGATATTATTGTGAATAAAGTAATTTATATAATACTAGCTGATCCCGTGCACTTCGTTTCCCGTTAAATGTACCAACTCTATAGGTATGACTCAAACATTGTTCAATGCGTTATTTAATATTCGGTGTATGATGTTCTAGATTTTATCTTAACTTTTCTGTTGCCCGGAATAAAAATTCTGAATTGCAGCAGTACATTATCAGATAGGTAATTTACCTGCGGTAGATCTCGGACCCCGTGCTGTTTGTACGTAAGTGTATGATTTAACTCAAAAAGTACCAAAGTTATACCAAGTTCCACCTACCTATAAATCCTAACCTAACATAACCGTACTAAAATCCAATGAATAAAAAAAACCAAATTTAACCCTTTTTAAATTAGCGTATCTTCTTCCCATAGGTCTAATCTACACACCGTCATTCATTTATGTATAAGATATATTTACAAAATATAATAATACAAATCAACAAACATGCCCGATTAACCAATAGCAACCAATATAATATAATACACCATCATAGAGTAAATAAAGACAACGGTATCGAGTTCAAATCCCAGACATCAATAAATAGTTTTTCTAATTATTCGGTTGACTTTTTAAAAATTTTCTTTCGTAAAAACCTTCACCTGGCAATTACGAACATCTTAAAAAAAATTTGAGCAAAATCGGCCCAGCCGTTTTCAATACTGATGCAATTTCGAATTTTTTGTCTCCATTTTTATATATATAGATTACAACCTATTACGCGGAACCTTGTATTAAATTTCCAATCCTTAGCTATAAAATTTGAACATTTTATACATTTTTAACTACAAAACAAATTATGATAATTAATGATATCATTGCGAAACCGTCTTAGAAATCCACCACCATGGAGCGTGTGGATCAACGGCCACTTTTGACTTTTCATTCTTCCGACTATAGCGCTCGCCGCGATGCCGATCAACTGTAAGTCGCTTGCGGTATATTATTATCTTAATTCACTTTTCGTTATCAGTGGCCAGTACGTTAACAATAAAAACCCATGACAAATTAAATTTGTTATTAATTTTTATTTAATTTGTCATGTAAAAACCTTGTTTTCGTCGTACGCTTCAATATTACAATTTATAATTTATAACTTATAACCCCACTATTACACAGGCGTCCTATCTATGTCGCGTATTTTATGCTGCGTTAATTATTGTTTTTGCCGTTATTGGTTTGTGGTTAATTTACATTTTCCGCCAAAACGGCTGAACTACCTACGCGTTGGTGCGAACATTGTTGTGTCGGATTCTCGCGTCTATTTTATATACGTAAGTATACTATAATAGACTCGTCTATGGTCTATTTTGTACAGACTGCGTCGCTGTTTTTTCAATAAAGTGCGAACTTTCGTGTCGAACAAAACGTAAGTATAATATTAAGTATTTCTATAGGTAGGTAGGTATTACGCTTACAAAATAATATTTAATGTTCATAGCTATAAAGTTTAAGAGGTACCTGCATATTAGTCGTTGCTTCTAACCTTAATTTTCTTTATAATTTTTATATATTTTAATAATAGTTAATAAAAGTATCCTACGTACCATATCATAAAATATAGTAGCAGCATGTATTATGATGTTAGTTATTAGTTGAATAACACCCAGCTATTAACTATACAACTATATAAAAATATGTTTCGTAATAAAGGCTTAACTATAAGTCTGCCAAACGCAGACGATTGTTAGATGTAAATAATTTTATTGAATATTTATTTGATGATGTCACCAAATAATAATATTGACAATACTATTTCATCTGAGCTAAATAATTACAAGTAAAAAGCAATAGTAAGTATACATATATCGAGTTTAATGTTGTTTGGATACAGGCACTTAGTATCCTCGGGAGTATCAGTTGACAGTACGATTAAAAATGTTTAAATTAAGTGAATTAATAAGTGACATTCTTTTTATTTAGGAACAAATTGTAAAGTATTATATTAAATAATTAATAGCTAGAGTCGTCTATTAAATTATTAACCATTGTGACAAGCACCAGGACTAAGCAACGGAGAGTAATGGAAGAACTAGATTCATACAACTTTCAGCAATTCCATGAATCTCCTATTAGACTAAATAATAACACAATCAATGAAACACTATTAGAACTTAGAAGTAGATAGTTTACCTTTAAACAAACATGAACTTAAGCCCCAACACATAAGATTTAAGGTCAGTTAAAACAAATACAAAAACTACTGCAGAAACAAAATAATTTAACTTGTTTTTAGATTAGGTATTATTAATTTAAATTATATTATATAATACAATAGTTTACTAAAATAATGCAACTAAGACGGTTTTAAATTTTCTAAAAATTGCATTGCCAAATAACAATATACCTATTGACTATTCTATTTTGTATATGCTTGCAAAAGTGGAATACATGGGTATTTATGATTAACAGTTAAACAATATTATTTAAACTTATTATATTAAGCATAGTTTAATGTATAGTAATTGTCTATGTATGTATCAGAATGTCTATTTTGTTTGTCATTATAGTATGGCTCAGATTTAAATATTAAATAGATATTTTTACTGTGAATTGATTATTTAATTTAGGCAAGTGATGAATTTGTTTCAAATGATTTTCAATTAAATGTGTTGTATTTTACATGACATATTTTAAATACATGTTTTTATCTATTATGTCCTTTACAATAATTCTGTTTTTCTCATATTTTGTCAATTTTTGCAATTATATACCAATATATTATACTGTTATATGCATAGGCGGTATTACGGGGGTGGCAGAGTAGGCAACTGCCCCTCCTGCGAACCGTTTTCCTTCTTGGCCCACCTTTTGCATTTCAAACCAAGCAGTGTTCTTTATTTCTGTCTCCAGAGTAGTTTCTATACTTGAATACGTTTTGGAACTCATAGGAAATATTTCTAATCCAGATAAAAATTCATTTAATTGCGTGTATCCTATTCCTATACAATAAAATTAACAATAATTATTAAATTATATATTATATTAAAAATTTAAATTGAATAGGTACTGATAGATCATGGATGTAATATTTATTATTTAATAATTTTACCAATTGCTATTGTACTATTAACAATAGATTTATTAATTGACCAATTAGTCTTCGGTGATTCTTTCACTGAACATATTTTTTTTTTTTATATTGCACATTCTACACTTAAACCAAAATTCCGAATAACAACCTCTTCGATCTTCCGATACAAAATACATGTCATTAAATGTACACCCAAATCCTCCATCATGTATATTATTTTGTTTTTGTTCAAAAAGGTAAGATACATCGAAAATTCTTTTACCGGTTATTTCATTACACGTTTCACTGTAATTTCACAAAATATTTTGGTTTTGTAATTAAGATTTTAAATTTTGATATTAGGTAGGTCAAGTATGGTCGAGTGATTACTAGCGTTTCTATATTACATGGCTCGGAACTTTAAGCATTTGCATATTTGTTTAGAAAGTGCATATTGAAAATCTGATTCGATACAAATTTGATTCATAGTAAGTATATTACAAATACAAAAATGTTTGTTGCATAATTTTGAATATTTCGTGATTTTTTGTACAAATTCGCATATTTTAGGTATAAGATCATTAATTATATGCATATGATATCATAGAATTAACGTGAACAATTTTTTTTTTAGAAATTTATACTTTTATAATGTTTGACAAAATAAATTAATTCATCAACGGCTATTACTATTGCTCCCAAAAATAATATTATAATCTTATTATATCTATTACTGAGAACTTGTAATAGTGATCGCTGACCGGCCCGTATTTATTTTTATTCAAATTTACCACTGGATTAATATTTTGTACCATGATATAAATAAATTGTATAATCGTAGGTAATTAAATACATAAGCGTGCGGTGTTAATTTTTTTTTAAAATTCTTCTAATTTTTTTTTCAGACACCTACCTAATTTAAATTTTTAAATTTTGTATGTAAAATGTGTTTTATTCAATAAATTGCATATTTTCCAAATTTTTACTGCATATTTTTAAGTTCCTAGCCTTGGTTATTATTTATTATTTAAATTTATAAAATATGAATAGGCACCTACATTAGTCAAAAATACAGATACAGGTACCTAACCTATTTGTATACATTTTAAATAATTTTATGCAGTATAATAACATTTATACAACAATTTGGTATAATTAGCTATTGCCTATTTGTCAACTGAATGATATTTATTTCTAATTTTATATTATAAATAATAAATATTATGTAAAATTATTGAGGACACAAAACCCGTTCCATAGCAATATAGCATTGATTATAAATAAAACAATATCCAATATACATAATATGTAGACAGTATATTATTATCTAATGCCTTGTTTTTTTTTTTATTATCAATAGAATCATGTGGCTTGACCTATGTAATATAAAATTAAATTAAGATAACAAATACACGTTTTATTACTAGTAAATTGGTAGTTTGATAGCGTACAGATTATAAAGGTTGTAGGTACAACAATGCATCGGCGTAAAACAGAAGCACAAAGTATATTATTATTTTTATTCATTGATCATTGATGGCATTTTTACAAATTAAATACAAAATTTGAATGTAAATAGCTTCTTTAATTATCAACCAATAATTATGAATGATACGTCAAAATTCATTAAAAAAAAAATCCTGTAGGAATCATATTTCAAAAATATAGATTCCCATTTGGATTTTAAAAGTTACCCCTAAAATCTCCCCCTTTTAACTAAAAAAAAAAAAAATTAATATCAAATTATAGTTTTGAGTATGTGATTCAAATAAGTTTTCACATAGGTCATTTTTTCCTAATTTGAGTAGATCATGCTGAAATCTGCTGTCACATGAAATTTGGAACACCCTGTATATGGTGGCGGCGTCCTTTGAAGTGAGCGGCGCGTGTACAGTCGTCCTTGATATGGACCTCACGACTATGAAAGTGGTATTCTTAGTCGAAAACACTTTTGGGTGTGGTCGCATTCCTGGTTGTTTTTATGAGCAAATACATGATATTACGTAATCCCATTACAGTACGGAACGAGACCACATAGCCACCGAATGTTTTTCGAAAACTCCTAGTTTTGTAGCTGGACTGGCACCTGAGATTAAACAATTATTTTGGTATTTAACACCTTATGCATTTAATTTAGTTCAATCAAAAATTAGCCACATAGTCAAAGTAAAGGTTTTATCTCACCTTTACATGACGGGCATTGTTAATTCTGGAGAAGGTGTCTTAAACGTCACTACTACAACTTGTGAGTGTACTTTTATAACAAGTATGTGTCTTCCGTGCCACCACATATTCAGATTGAGGAAGATGTATGGTCTCTCATTATACTGTCCAGAATTATGTGCAGATAGGTGGACCAGAATGTATTACCAAGATGTATGTAGGGTAATTCCTTCTACAACTATGCCCAATAATATAGAGCAAAACAGTGTTAAGAACTAAAAATAAAAACTAAAAACTAAAGAATTTTTAAATATTATATATTAGATTTTGTAAGTTTGTACTGTAAGTTTGGGTGAACATGCTATTAAGGTGAATTGTCCTATATAATAGTCTTATTTACTTGTTTTTTACAGATAGTAGTTATGAAAACCATCATAATTCATAATCCAATTAATCAAAAGACTACTTCAATGCATTCAGGTATTTTAATTTATTATTATTTTTTTTTATCCTAATAATAATATTGGTACTAAATTGTATAATAAACTAAATTTATTTTACTTCTGTACAGAACAGATCTTTTTACATACAACACTTTTTTCTGTCAATTAATTTATATAAGCATTATTTATTTGAATAATTTTATATTGTATAGGTTCACCAAAAAAAGCTCATAAGAATTTAGTGGATGGTTTGACTTCACCAACAGAAAATTTGAACGTAAGTCAAAAGGAAATACATTCACCAAATTCTAATGATAGACAATTTGGCTTAAACTCTATGGCAAATACCCCGGGTATTATGTTATTTACTGAAATACAAGACTTATTTTATATTGCCTATTTTAAACAATTTTTCATTTAAATTATAGGTTCATCTAAAATATCCAAGAAAGGTTATTATAATAACAGTTCAGAATCTTGGTCGAGTTCACCATTAGAAAATTTGAATACAAGTCAAACAAATATACATTCAAAAAATTCTTATGAAAGACAATTAAGCCTTATGGAAAACACTCCAAGTATAATGTCATTTACTGAATTTCAATAAAATATTTATATTTTATATTGCCTATTTTAATGAAACTTTTAATTTCTATCATAGGTTCTTCTAAAATATCCGGGAAAGTTATAAATTCAGAATCTTGTTTGAGTTCACCATCAGGAAATTGGAATGTTACTCGGGATAATAGTGCTGTTTTGGTGAAATCGAACAGATGTAAGAGACGTATAGATTTCAATTCAATAGTGAACACTCATCCAGGTACATTTAAATTTAAATAAATTAATATCGGTATTTTTGTTTACTGTTAGTATACCTAATAACATTTTACATTTACATTTTAGATTCTTCTAAGGTATCTAATGATAGAAATATTAAAAACACATCTAATGTTAAATATTAATACTATTCTTTATATATGTACTATATTATAGTTCCTAAATCTTAATTGCATTAAATTTGTTTAGAAAAAATAGATTTACTTCTTCGAGCTGTTACCAATTTGAAATATGAAATGAGAGAACAATGTTCTCAGAACATGTCATTAAAATTGAAAGACTGGAACAAACCATAGTTAATAACTGGCAACTGCTTAAACAAGAAGATGATAGTTGATTACAATGATAATACTACAGATGATATGTTTGATTTTCCAATAAAAACTTTAGAAGAACTAAGTATATTTGAAGACAAATTAATGGATAATAATTTTAGACTTCAAATGGTAAGTATATTATCATAATTATTTCAATATACATCTTATAAAAGTATAAGTATATAGATGGGTTATATATGGGTCTTATAAGACGTAAAGCTCTTTATAGATCAAATTTCATTAGTTTTTTTTAAATAAAATTTATTCATTTTTTTTTTTTGTTGGTTTTAATTATTTTCAAAATAATTAGTTTTACAGCTTTATAACTAAATTAACTTAAATTCATGAAATATTTGTTTTATTCAAAATGTCACTATACATTGTTTAATATATTATGGGAATAGGTTTCAATACCCTTAGAGCTGACTAAAATATTCATTAACAAAACAACTAAGTTCATGATATATTTTATTAAACTAAATATTTATACTCTTAAACCATTTTCAGATAAATTATCTATCCAGATTGGAACGTCCAAAGGTAGCTGATATGACAAGACAAATAATGGCCAAAGTTTTTCATAATAATATACTCTCTGTGCATTCTTATATCGGACAAAAAAATAAAAATGTGTTTTCCGTGCTCAATTCTTGTTCATTAATATTTGGTAGACTATATTAAAATAATTTATGTTCTCTTGATGTTACACAATTAAAAAAAATAAATATTTCATATATTTCAGCAACTATAAGAAGCATACCAAAACATAGAAATTGTACAGATCTTGAAATTGTTGGTCCATTAAAAATGTACATGGCTAATGCCAAATTCCGCGAGGAAAAAAAGCAGCAATCCATCTCTAATGCATAGTTATATTATAAATACTACTATTGTTAGGTTATTATGGTATAGAATTAAAAACTTATAAGGCTATGTAAGTTAAAGTAGATATGTGTCAAGGAAGACATGTAAAACAATATAGCACAATATAATTTAGGTTATTAATAAAAACGCCATCAAAAAAATTTACAGTCAAAAGTATAAATGATTTTATAACTAAAATGATATTTTGTATTTTTGAATTTTAATTAAATTAAAAGTTTAGTTAACTATTGATATATATATATATTACGGGTAACGTTAACATTTGGATAATGTCGACATTATCCGGCTAATGTCGCCATTAGCCATGCGTTTTGGTTAATGTGTAATTTTTCGTTTATATTAATGAAATATTAACATTATCCGGATAATGTCGACATTAGCCAGTCAACATTGGATAATGTTAAAAGTGAAAACTGAATTCAATTTTTTTATAAAAAGTGGGACCAAGTGTAATCTACACGTGTAATAATTTTATATTTTATCGATTACACATATATATCGGTCTATCTGTAGATTATTTGAATTACGAGTATAATCGTAGGTATTAACCTGCTATAATATAATGCAGCAGTACTTTATCTTACTGATAAGCATCGAATGATGGCAGAAATAAAAAAAAAATACAAAAATTTAACTCAGGAAATTATGTCTTGAGTATAATATTAATATTGTTAATAATTTAAATTATTGCATCTCATGTATGATACATTGTTAAGACATTATTCAAAAGTTCTTGGCTAATGTAATATTACCCGGTTAATGTTAACATTAGCCAAAATTCATGGCGGCTTATGATGACAGTTGGCTAATATCTCATCAGCCGGATAATGTCGACATTATCCAAATGTTAACATTACCCGTAACATATATATATCAATGGTATATTTAAATTAAAATTGATTTATGAAAATAAATACTTCACTTTGTTATTTGTTTCATTTATTTTATTCTTTTGAGTTTTCTCTCTTTAAGATCTTAATTTCCTTTATACGTAGACAGTGGCACTGAATCTTAATTTAACTTGATTTTCCCCAACCTCGTATTATAATAATTAAAAATATAAAGATATTATATTATATGATATACTTGTATGCTTACTATTTTACTGAATTATTTCTGTATTATATTTATTATAATAAATAGAGATGTTTTCTTATGTTGATATCGCTTGAGTTGATTTCTTTGTATTCATATAAACCTTTTAAAAACTTAATTTATTTGATTGTTTGGATTTCTTATTCCATAAACTATTAATTTGACATAAATAATTTTATTTTATTTTGAGGAGTATAATATTATTAAACTATGTGTTATTTAACCAAAGTATAATGTTAGACATCTCAATTCCCAATATAATAGAAAAAAACCCAAAACATCAAATTCTTAATCCAAAAATCAGTGTTTTAATACAAAATAATATGTGCAGAATGGATATTTTATTATATTATAATATTTCTAAATAATAGTGTTGAGTATAGATAGTATACTCAATGATAATATAGGTATAAACCTTGTATAAGTTAATTCCAAATTAATTATTTATTTTGTAAAAGTATAATTCCACATAATTTATAAAAAAGGATAAAAATTAAATTAAATTTGTTAGAGTAAATTTATATCATTTAGCATAATATTAGGTATAATAAAGGAAAATATTTTAAAATTAATTTAGAATGTATTTTTAAAATATAATTAAAATATATTATAGTTTTGACAAAAGAATTCATAAAACGTCATTAAAATATTTTAATGTTATATAATTATATTTCCTGAAAAATATTTTAAATATAAATTATAAATTACGAGTGAAAATATTTTTAAAATAGTTAGAAATATATTTTCAAAATGTCTTTGAAATATTTTAAAAGTGTATTTAAGACGACAAAAAAATTTTCAAAATATCATTAAAACATTTTGTTCCGATATAATTATATTTTTAAAATTATATATATTTTCTGTAAAATATTTTAAAAATATTAAATTGCTGTGTGGGTAAGTATTCAACCGACCAAACCAAGGAGAACCGTGAGTCCATCATAATAAAATTCACTTTGTTCCCTGTTGAATGTTTTTTTTATATGTCAAATCACTATGTGGTATAAAACCTAAAAGAAAAAATTGTCATATCTCAGATATATGTAATTATATTTTCAATAAAAAGCTAATAACTTTATATGAACAATAAACCTGTGTTGTGTTCATTCATAATTATTACATTATAATATTAAAGGTGTAATTTTTTTGTTCATTTTCTTATTTGTATGGTTGTGAATTTATGTGGGGGGAGAGCTAAGTAATGAAAATGGTAAAAACAGTCTTTGTGTTTTTAGTAGGTTTTTTTTTGGTGTATTGGATTGTAAATGGATGTAGTTTTAGTTTTTTTTTTTTTTTACTCATCTTAATTTTGTTTATCGTCGTTGTTGGTGTTGGATGTTGGTGTGGTTTGAATTGGATCTGCTGAGCTTTCAGCTGAAGTTGTGGTGTCGATTGGTGTTATTGGTTGTGAGTTTGTGACTGGGGCGGCCGATGGTGCTTCAATTGTCGGTGTTGTTATGGTTGGAGTTGCGAAGTATTTTGTCTGACTGAGTGTGTCAGTCATATATTTTTTGTGTTTACATTATATCGACGCCCCAGTTCAAAACTGCAACAACTCAAAATATTGGTTTATTGGGTATAATGTGTGTTTTTCTATTGTATCTCTATTTAACTTAATGTAAATTATAATATTGAAAATTCTCTTTCATGATCAATAATTAAACTACATTTTATTTTCTTCTTCAACTGAAATTGTCATGAGATGGTTTACATAACTCGGATTTGTTATATCTCGAGTTGTTGCAGTTTTGAACTGGGGCAACGATATTAACTAGTTGTGAACTAAATGTATTATTTTGCAATATAGGTATTTCATTATTTCTGTTTTTATGAATTTAATTGATTGTGGTTACTGTTTAATGCGTCCATCTTTTTAGGCAACTTTGAGAATACTAATTCAACAGTGTTGGGTAGTAACGTAAAGAAAGTTACGCGTTACTGTAACGGCGTTACTTTGCTTGTAACGCGCTACGTAATTTCATTAGAATTATTTCCAAGTAACGAAAATGTAATGTAAATTACTTTTGAAAAGTAATTTCTATAGAATACCTAACGCGTTACAGTTTCGAATTATTAAGTACCTATACCTTACCAATTCGAATTGAAAAAATAATATATGTATATGCGGGTATTATTATGTTTAACAATCTAATATATGTATATACTGGGTGATTCTTTTATCAAACAACACTCATTATTTCAAAAAGTGTAAATTTTTTTGAAGATATTTTTTTACATAGTTTCAAGTCGCTTATAAAACAACGTTTTTATTAAAAAATTATTTTTTTAATTATTTTTATCCTTATAACTTTTTAAGTTTTTTACTTTTTTGAATGACAACATAGGGTTTTAATTTTATATTCTAAAGTAGAATATTTTCCTTAGTATTTTGATGCATGAAAATTTAATTTGGGGTGAGTAGTTTATGAGTTATAAGTATTTAAAGTTTAGACGAGCGGAGTGGAGTGGTTCGGGGTTACCCCGCGAAACGTTTGTCCACTTCACCGCTCGTCTAAACTTTAAATACTTATAACTCAGAAACTACTCACCCCAAATTAAATTTTCATGCATCAAAATACTAAGGAAAATATTCTACTTTAGAATATAAAATTAAAACCCTATGTTGTCATTCAAAAAAGTAAAAAACTTAAAAAGTTATAAGGATAAAAATAATTAAAAAAATAATTTTTTAATAAAAAAGTTGTTTTATAAGCGACTTGAAACTATGTAAAAAAATATTTTCAAAAAAAATTACACTTTTTGAAATAATGAGTGTTGTTTGATAAAAGAATCACCCAGTATATATTTAATTTTAACTCGCCACAATTCAGTTTTAAATGGTTTTGACATTTGAAATGTCTAATTGCACCGTACAAATCATGAAAACAGTTAATTCAATTTATTATTTATTTTGATTCCTTTATAAATAGGTTTCCTATGAATAGTTTGTGTAGAAGACTAAGTTTTATACGGAGTTTATAAAAAAATTAGCTTGTTCAGTTTGCCTGCAGAAGATATTTGCCAAGAAAGTTAATTTTTTTTTTTTTGTAACGAGAAAGTAATGAGTTACTTTTCTATTCAAAAAGTAAAGTAATTTCATTACAATTTTAGTTGAGTAACGAGTAAAGCAACTTATTTATATTTATCTCTTAGTAACGAGTAAAAGAACTTAATTATTTTTTAAAGGTAACTTATCCAACACTGTAATTCAATCACCACATGGACAGAATCAGAAAATGCCCCTTCGATTAGAATTTGATTGAACCCTTACTGGGAGAAGATACTTTTAATTTTTGATGAATGTATTTCCTACATACATGGATGATAGAAACTAGGAGTAATGTATTTTCCTACAAGATGGAGCACCTGCACATATAATGCAATTGTTGTTCAAGAATATCTACAGAATACATTTGGAAATTGATGGATAGATACATATAGAGAGCCTAGATAATAATAATAATTATCTAGGCTCTCTAGATACATAGGTATGGGGCAGTAGTTCCCCCCCCCCCAGATCTCCGTCATTACACCATTAGATATTTTATAGGGACATTTGACTATTCAACTCCACATTTAAACTTTCAGGACCTCAAAGATAAAATTGTGAATTTTAATTGTGCCGAACTTCAAAGAGAACAAATTTTAGCAGCTACTCAAATTCCAGTAGTGCGCCGTCTCTAGTCATGCATGGAAAATGATGGGCTAAATTTAAAAAAAGTTTTAAGATAGATATTGATATTAATTAGTTTTTTAATATATCATAGAATTCATAAATGTTGTGTTAATTTGTTCACATTTTTCCTAGTACTTAAAAAAATTTGAGGTAAACGTGTATACTTCAAGTCAAATAAAGTAATAAAAATAATTTATTTAAGATTACTTCGCATATCCATATTTTGTCTCCAACTTACAAACGTACGACATATCAAATTTTCGTTCACCATTTTCAACAGTATGCAGTTTTGATACTAGAGTGAATAATTTACCTATTATCAAACTTTTAGGTAAGATCATTATCTGTGTTCTCTAGTTGGTTTTTACGATATTTTAATTTTTAAGTGCGTTATGACTTATGAGTATGAAGAATATTAATATTTTTAAAATCTCAGAACTCACTTAAAAATTAAAATATCATAAAAAACCAACGAGACGACACAAATATTGTTCTTACTTAAAAGTTTGATAATAGGTCGATTTACTCTAATACCAAAACTAACAACACTGGCCACACTATTGAAACTGGTGAGCGAAAATTTGCTATGTCGAACGTGTGTAGGATAGAGACAACATAATATGCCGGTGCGACGTTCTCCTAATGTCTAAAAACATATGACGTATGAGTGAAAAAAATAAGTAGGATTTGTAAAATCATAGGATAACTGTTGAAAAATTCAATAATTCTAAGTTAAAATATTTTCTCGTTGTCATTCAGTCAATATTAAGATTTGACAAAGTATTGATAGTACTACAAATTGTTTCAAATCCAAATTTAATGCTAAATAAAGAAGTTACAATCGCCCATCTTAATACATTTTATCATATGGAAACTTTCAACAGCATTCAAACGTTAAATTATATTAAATTTCACAGTAGTTATACTTCGAAACCTGTATTACTATTTACTATTGACTGAGTACATTAATGGGAAACTTATACGAATAGAATATTTTTTGATTCGAATTTGCAAGGTTTGTTTAACCTAACCTATCAGCTCGACGATTTTAAATTGTATATACTATATATTTTATTATTTTTATTTTGTATAACAAAGTGGTGACTGGTTGACTCCCACTTCGACGCCCGCTAACGTACATTTTTGACCAAGCCTAATTTAATTTTGATAGTCCTATTGCCTATACAATTGAGAAGGAATATGAAGTGCGTATTAATTAAGCGAGAAATAATTCGGCTCAACTTAATATAATACTTTTTTTAAACAGGAAAAATTTCGTCATGTGGGGTATCCGGGTGGGGGCTCTGGAACCAATTCGATACCCGCCTCCAGTACACTAGTGACTAGTGCATTGTTACGATTGTTTGTATTACGATTTTAAAATTCTATTCAAAGTAAATATGCCGTGTGTCCACAAAAACTGGTACACTCTATAACTCAGTTACCGAGATTAGTCAGTACCTACCCCACACATATTTTAGAATTCTGTCTGCGGGAGATTGATGATCCAATAATCTAGTTTCATGTACCACAAACAGATTTCAAAAATATGTATAGGGCATTGAGTAAATGAGTAATATGAGTAAAATAATTAATTTAATGTTACCAATAAGTTTTTAAATTGTACATGACATTATAGTGTATTGAATTTTGTTAAAATACTTTTATAGAAACCAGGAATAGCTCGTAGAGTGAACTTTTCTTGTTTGTTTTATTTTATCCATGAAATAAAAGTATTCAGAATTTCGAACAATGAACTAATATTCAAATTTATATATCTATAAATGCTATAGCTCATAAGTGATAAAAAAAAATAGTGAATATTGGTAATAGGTATGTCTATATTTATTATTTTCCATATTTATCAACAGCAGACTAGCTCCAGGGGACATAGCAATACATTTTCAATAGTTTTCACTCAAAAAATTAAAATGCTATTTATTTAAAACTCATAATTAGGGGTCTTAGATAATTTAAGCAGGGTATAGGTAGATATAGAATAATTATATAGAATATATATGGGATTGTAAATAAATGTAGATACATGAAATTTTCACTGATTATTTTATATTTGCATTTTCTAAACACGATAAAATTTTAAAAATTTTTTGATTTATTTTGAACTGTTTAGGGACATTTTCAGTTTCGAATTTTATTAGTTTTTTTTTTTATGAATCTCAATAAAATTTTATTTGTTGAATAAAAATACTTGAAAATGTAATAAATACATAATCACAATTTTTTTTTATAAGCATTTGAGAAAATGTATCAAATTTAAAATTGAATAATTATTTTGTAGTTAAAAATTTATAAAATGTTCGACTTTTATATCTAAGGATTGAAAATTTAAAACCAGATTCCACGTAAGCAGTTTATTCTGTTACCAAAAAATCTAAAAAATACATAAACATAGTTTATTTTTATAGTCATTTTAAGTTCAAATTTGGACGGAATTACATGTTAAAAACCTAGAGTAACTATTTTGTTATTTTGTTGTTATTATATAATATTACTCGTGGGTGCTTGAAAGTACTTCTAAAGTATACTACTATAAATCTATGATAGTAATATAGTATCACGGTTTGTTATTGATGTATAACGCCTTATAAGTAGCTATTGGACATTGTGATATGATTAATTTGGAATTTATTATAGGTACAATTTTTTTTTTAATACCATTTATATAAAGTTTAAAATTTTCAAGTAAAATAATATTACGACCTATGGGACCATCGGTCATTAGTGAGTAGACAATTTTAATGTACATCATTACGATTTATACACGATAAAGGACTATAAAATACGTTGTGTCTTATTCATATTAGTAA